TTAAAGTGCATAAAGTTCAGCGCAAGAAAATCCCTTAGTAGTTTTTACAGAACAAACTCTCTTCAAAAGAACAACAAAGTGCACCTAGAGCTAGAGGGTATAGAGAGGTAGAAGACTCAAGAAAGACAAAAAAACTCATATTGATCGACTTAAGCGTTAACAAATGGCGAGTCAGACATGCTTATTTGAGGCTTTGTGCCAACATTCAAGAGGTCTAAAAGGTCTCCATAGGCGCACACATCCACAGCTACAGGAACGCGTAAAGTCTAGGGTGTTGGAGAGCTTGTTTGAGCCTGCTTGTGTATGTGCGTAACGCTGATTAGATCATAATTTCAAGCCTATGCAATAGCAGAGAGTGAAAACCACCCACACCGAAAACACTCCACACTTGAGAACAAGAAATCACGGAAAGAACTCATCTATGCAGTTAACTGCACTTCTTAAGCATTAGAATGATCACAATGGCCTTTATCTGGCTGTGTAAAGTTAAGAATACGTTAACATTATAAGCTATTATGTTTACACTTTAGAAAACGAATGGAGGTGAAAATACCGAGCATGTTAATTAATCATTCAATTTCAATAAGCCCCGAAAGTCGTTCTGCGAACTAGAGCAAAAGCATGAATTCCAATTTTGAATCGTGTGCCGTGGACAAGTATGCATTACAAAGCACTGAATCCAACAATAAATCAATCGAAGCGAAATTGATTTCATTCTCAACAGCAATTTGAGCCCTTCCCTCTTATCATTACCAAAATTTCGCCATCACCCCCAACCCTCTATTTGCCTTTCCACGATGGAAATGGTCAACTTCTTCTCTCCACCCTCTGAATTATCATAAAATATCTCGCTGAAAGATAAATAGCACATATGGCAAGAAAAGCAGCACCCGGTCGAAGGTCACAAGATTCGGACCCGTCGGTGCACATCCGGTGACTGGAACAACGAACCGCATTACTCAATACTAATCAATAAGAAGAGCGGAAAATGCGATAAAAAAGCCTTTCTTAGTTGAGGCGACTTCTAAGTGGACTCTCCTCGCCCCTTTTCAAAATTATTTCACCCCATTTAGAGCAATAAATCCTCTTGCATGATTAGTCTGATACATCATTACAAATAGAGTTGGGGGGGGGGGGTTACTATGCGAGCGAATATAGAAAAATTCGGCTGATTTATGGCACATTTACCAAGTAGAAAGAGGCCACTCTTATGAAAGTAGTCGAGGAAATGTATGCGTTGCGAAATAGAAATAAACTGAAGGATTGGTAAGTGGCTTTGACCTTCTAACTGCAGCCTCACAAAATGGGAGAGGATTGGCTTGCTGCACGTTAATTAAAAGGGGGAAACGGTGCGCTTTTAAAGTTCACAAAAGAACAATGACAATTTATACAAATAGCAGCTCTTAGATAATTTATCAACCCAAGCACTCAGAGGTGGTAAAGATGGAGAAACAAAAGCCAGAATTGCTCGATTTCTGGCTTCTCTACTCATTTAAATTTTAGTGCTAACTGAACTCAACCAATCCAAACAACGTTTTAAAAGTGTATTTGAATAAAGTGTGCTCTACGAAAAAATATAATACTTGCGCTAAAACATGAATGCTTAAGAATGCATCTACTAAAAATGGAAAAAAAACCAAAAACTTATACTCACGGCCTTTCATAAGTTTGGAAAGTTTCTTTCTCCTTGAGTTCACGAATCGGGTCATTTCCAAGTTTGTACTCCTTTTTGGATAGCTTGTACGTCTCTCCCCTATTTCTTGTGCACAACCAAACACCAACAATAATCACAATCAGGATGAATACTATCGCAATCACAACTGCTGCAACCCAGGCAAAGTTTGCGGTGGCTAAAAGGGAAGGACGGTTCATTGGAGATTATCAGATTACTCTCGGAGGTAGGAAATCAAGTCTCTAAGCAACTCACCAGGTTTGGAAACATCAGAGAAAGTTCTAGAAGCCGTCAATGTATCTTTGAGCGTTTTGTCCTCCTCATTGTAAGAGTCATAGATCTTCTTCTGCTCATCGAGTATAACCTCTCGCCTTTGTCTGCTTAAACCACCTATAACCGATTCCATGGAATAGGGGACAAATTTAGCTCGTGAATTATTGACAAAGAGCTGGAATCGACATTCTAGTTGAAGAGAGTCGACCTGACGAGAGAGCCGAGTTGAGAGCACTTCTTGAAGATTCACTTTAGGGGGCGAAGTGGCGGTGTAGAGATTCGTAGTTCCAGCGGATGAAGTTGAAGCTTGGGTGGTTGAAGCTGTGGTGGGCAAATCGGATACTTTCACAAGATCAGCAACGGGAATGTAAGGCGAGACTTTGAGGAAGTACTACCAAAAGGATAGGAGATAAAAGTTAAGAGTAAAACGAACTCCTGACTGAGTAGCTTTATGTGCTCAGTTGCCCTATGCCACAATAATACCTTGAGAAATTTAGATTTTAGTACTCTTTCACCTTAACAATTATTATTTTCTAATCAGTTACAACGGAGTTGATGCGAAAGCAGCTCTGCAAAGTGTTCCACTTTCAAAAAAGTACTTGGATCTTAGGCTTTGCCGACGCTATGAATTGCAGCGCCAAGAACGATCTATTCTGAAGATACTGATTCTGCTTTAATGCAACAAATACAAATGTGTGAATATGCAGTTATTTTGCCATACAGCCAACTCTGTACTATTGATGAAAAATGAATGACATGTGCAAGAAAAAAGCTCATTCAAAGACCAATTTGACATCAGTTTTTAGTTGTTATGTCTGAAATTTTATATTCTTAAATTGTCAAAGGGCCTATACTACTTAAAATATTAATTCAGGAGGCAATTGCAGATCTTCCTTCGTGATTGGAAGTTGCGTTTTGGCGTAACAAACAATTACTTAATACGTGTTGGGCGTAACCACCCGTTATTCCAACTCGTAGCCAATTAAATCCATCCGCAAAATGAGTGAAAGCAATGGAGGGACATTTTCTTCCTCCTCATTCTCGATCATCTAATAAGAATCATCGGCATGTTTTTGCTCAATCCGATTTGTCAAATGATGTGGTGTAAGTAGCTCTCTATCTCTCTCTCCCCCCTCCCTCCCTCCCGAAACTCATGGACACATTTCTGTCCGAATTAATGGGTAGCATGTTCGAATGAATGAGACAAGTTCCAGATCCATTGAAGGAATTTTTCCAATAAATCCCTCCAATCGATCAAATAAAGGACTTTAATCGGTGCTAATGAAGTCCTTGAGAAACAGCAAATCAATGGATTAGTTTTCGCCTTTGCTGCGCTAATGAAACTTACAGGGGTGGTGGAATTGTATGCAAAGAATTGGGCTAAATCTGGATCCTCCATAACCATTTCCATGGTGAAGGTTCGAGCTAGAACCCAACCCTGTTGGGAAATGACACCAAGACCGTTCCAACCCTTGGCTATTGATGAAGCGGGAATGCATTGCAGGTCGAAAGGATCTTCATTGCAGTCGGTGGCACAGGAGAGCCGAGATGGAGCAATTTGTAATGCGGGCTTAGCTGGAAGAGAAAAATAATTTGGAAGTGTTCAAACAAACTGCATTATCGAAAATCCGCCCAAACACAGACAAATTCTAGGAATGTTAAACTAAAACCTATCCTAATCAAGGAGATTTTGAATTCAAACAAATCAGATTTAAGTCACTATGAGTAATCTAAGGTTAACATATTAAAATATTTGGCCCGTCAAACAGTTGCAAAACAACATTGTGTCTGAAGAGGTCTGAAGAAACCCATTAAGGACTTAATAAGCCCTCAACATGTCAACAGAAAGTCTAGAGTTTGACAGATAAACATTCTTAAGAATAGGCGGGAGTATAATTTCTTCAAAGAAGAGTTATGACTTTTTTAGTTTTTTTTGTCTTTTTTTATAGGGCTGGAATTGAAGACAAGAAAAGAGCAGCAATACAACAGATATAACACAATTTGCCGTTAATTTGGGTTTAAGCAAGATTATGACTTATCATTTGGGTCAACAGAAAAACCATTTGTTCGAGATAGCTTCATTCACGTGAGGAGCTTCAATGCTTTTTATCAACTATTTGAAAATGAAATACTAAACTTCATTCATGAAAACGAAAATACGCATACTCTTCAAACATATGGAATGTAGAAAGCAAGAATATCATACACAATTGTAGTCCTGGCAAATACTAAATAAAACTGAACTCACGAACAACACGAAGCGTCCCGGTTACAAGCGATTGTCCATAGGCATTGATGGCTTTAATGGATAGTCTGAAGTTCTGTCCAACTGCGAGGTTCTTGACTTCCACAGTAATTCCTTTGGAATCCCATTTATCATGTCTCCGAAAATCAATATCCAACTTCTCAATTGGTTGATTCTGTATCTGCAAGGATGATGCAAGAATTTTCTTAAGAGCCTCACTGCTGTCGGCCTCAAAGCCATTTATTCCAACTTTGAAGAAGACCTCTTCACTCTCTCCAGCATTCAAGTCACACGTGTACATCTTCGATGAACCCTCGAGAGCATAAAATAGATCTTCAACACAATCCACATCCTTAAAAGTCGGTGCTCCCACCACAGACACAGTAAAAATGAATTTTAGTCGCAAAGATCCTCCTTCCATTATCAAGAGCTCATAGATCCCACTGAAACTGCGTTCCACTTTATTTGGAAGTCTAAAAGAATTGGGGGCTGCTCCTGGATCTGTCAACTTCTTACCATCTTTATACCAGCCATACTTAAAGTTGGATTTTGCTGATTCTGGCACCCGATAGAAAGCAAGAAGTTCGAAATTAGACAGGACAGTTCCATCTGTGAATTGATAACTCGTTTCAAGTGGTGATAGATTAATGAAACCTTGCACTTGACTAGGTTCAGAATTCGGGTTTAGGGTAAAGCCTTTTTCAATCAACGGATTATGGTATTTTTGAACTTCGCTTCCGTAAGCTCTAATCGGAGAAGCTGTGGAACCACGAACTAGACAGATGAAAGCGGAATTTGGATTTTTAGCAAGAACGGTATCAGAAAGGAGAAAAAGAGTACCATCCATAGTTGTTACACTTCCACCTACACCGAGGGATTTTTTAGATCCAGCACAACCTGCCGCTGTGATACCAACGGGACTAACTTGACAGGAGGACCACTCAAAGGGGGAGAGATACTGCTGCCAAACTGCAGCCATCCAAGAGGGCCAATTACGAATTTTCTCTGCATAGTTTCCGCAGGAAAACTTGAGGGGAAAGTCTTGAGGTGAAATTTCAGGCTGGTATTCCTTTAAAACCTCATTTGAAGAGGTTACATTGAGCTGTGTTTTATAGAAAATAGCATCACGTAACTCAACAATATTTGACTGGATTGTCGCTTCAGCATCCTCGACTTCGCAATAAATTTTTTCGTTATAAGGAACCAAATGTTCTCGAATTGGCGAAAAACCAAGGGAGAAATTTGCACCCTTATATTTATCAAAAGCATAATCGAATTGCATCATTTTGCAGGAAATTTTGCCAGCAATAGGCTGAGATGACAATCGATGACAAGCTACACTACTTCCACCCCCACCACAACAAAGTTTAACATCAGTGAGAGCCTTCGATCGAGTGGCTACTTGACAAGAAAATTGAACAACGTGGGTAACAAGATTAGTCGAACCGAGAAAATAGATACTGCGAGTGATTTTGGATGTGGCATCTATTAACACCTCTGGAAAACTGTCCGTGAGGTAAATGTTTTCTTCTGTATTTGCGCCTTCAACTGGGATGAATTCTAATAATTCATCTTGAGCTCTTGCTAAAATACAATTACAAACATCAATAGAAGAATTTTTAAGTTTGAAAATAAGACTCCCTGACTTGATAACCTACCAAGGAAGTGATTAATAAAAGTTAGGAGAAATATCGTAATAAAAACACAATGAACCCTCATTTTACGCCCGATGAGGTCGGTTCGCCAGAAGAAGTGAACGATAATCAAATATGAGGGCATGACCTAAAAACAATCAATTGAAAGTTTAAAACAAAAATTCTTGTTCATGGAAAGTACGTTTTGAAACTCCAACTTCATGAATTATGTAAGCTTTAGTTTTATATGTAATTAGCTTTCAATACACATCCTATCTACTTACTGATTTTTTTATAATAATTGAGAAAAATCTGAGACAGTTTCTTCTCCTTATTCACTTATATCTTCTTTTCAAGATACATATAAAATGTTTTGTCTACTTTGACTTCATTTTGTGACTATCTTTATAAAGGTAATATATGTAAGTTTTCCGAAGTGTTCATTTATTTGAATGGATGTAAATAAAATTACCGTCTACTTGATAATCTACTTCATATTTCACTAAGATTATTGATTTTTTTCAGCTAGAACTTCTTTTCATGATAATAAATGTTTCAACATTACCTTGAAAATGTGCTCTTAGTTGAAATAAGCTTAATCTTAGGCAAATATTGCAATTGTAATTTGCAACTTCGTTTAATAGAAACTAAATTAAACTCCGATGACTAGCATCTTACTACTGTAACTTCGATACTTATTTATATCAAATGACAGTCTTTATGGTAGTTACCAATAGCTCTTTTGTTGACTTCGGGCTTCATAGAGGGACGGAGCACTAAAGTCACAAATAGTCTAGAGGGGAAAAGTAGAGTGCTTCACAGATTTAAAAAGAGAGACATAGGTAGAGAAAAAGGTGACGTAAGGTGAGTACTATGGAAGTGGCCGAATATAACATACAGTGGGGTTATGACAGCATGAAGTCAGAAGTCAACTGCCTGTTTAAAGACTTTTTTGCTGCATGAGTAAACGTTGGTCAGGGTACACAACGAGGTTATTAGTCAGTCGCGCTCCCCCTGTCACTTCAGTGTAAGTAAACTAAAAAGATAACTTAGTTGTTTTAATATTTGTGCATTTCGTTTAAGGCCCTTGTATCATCCTAACTCAAAAGAGTATTGCTTTATTTTTATGTGTAACAGGACAGGAGGTAAATTGCCAATGACATTACTTGCCGAAAATATACACTGGGCAGATTATTAGTAAAACTAATATAAGACGTTATACCAGTATATTATTTATTTTGCCACTAATATTAGCAACCTGGTCTACCATAAGATTTAACCTCAACGAGGGTCACCTGTTGTTTAATATCTTAAAAATGTACCTCAATTGGCCCATTCATACTCGGTAAGCGACTTTATCATATATGCCCTAGTATATATACACTATGATATATTAGAAGAACTGATCATTAGCAATATTTTATTTCAATATAATGCAGAGAAGGGAGGGATCAAATAATAGTAATTAAATAATTCAATTATTGCACAATTTCATTTAGTCGTCAGGTAAAAGATATTTCATGTTGAATGATTGTAATAAAAAAGGAAAATAAATGGTAAAGAAAAATGTGAGAATTGAAGGATAGAGGAAAAGTGATAAAGCCAATGAGTAGATGCCCTAATCAGAATTGATATTTGGTAACTTCAGGTAGGGGTCTGGATTGTGGGCGCTGGTTTGATTGGTTGGTGCATGGAGATCGTGGGGGAGATCGTGAGGACTCCATTTCCATGGAGCGTTCCATCAAGGGCGTCATATTCTGACTCTTTCTAGCTTTCGACCTTGCGGGTAAATCTGGTTTTCGCAACCTAAGCTAAAATAAAAGGCAACCAGTAGATTCTTGTGGCAAGAGTGAGAATGATCAGGTTCGTTAATGAATAACAAATAACAAAAAAGGCTAATCGACATTTATCACAAACTTCGGCTTAAGACAAAATTTCTCAGAAAAAGTAACATACAGAGAGATGGAAAAATGGGTTCCATATTCTAATAATAGATATACAGCGACCACAATCGAAAGAGAGGGAGACCTCGTATATCCTAGACAATATCGGTTCTACAGACTTGAAAGGTGATATGAGCCTGCACCGGCGAAAAAATAACCAAAGGACTAGAGATTATAGTATCTCTCTTTGACATCAAATACATCTGGCTTGGCAGTGATTACAAGTCACTAATCAAGTGAAAGTCCTACCCATCGTAAATTTAGTAAAAAATAATTAAATAACACTGGGACACTAATACTGATGGGATTTTGAAAAAAAAACAAATTCTATACAATGTCTTGAACGTTAGTGGATGTTCCGTACAATTAAAGTAGTTTTAGAGACGCCTTTGTGACAATTAAAAGAGTGAAATTGCGCATTTATTATCATTTTCGTACTGCGCAAAGTAGTTTATACTCTCCTAGCGCCATGACATCCAGAATTAGCTTAAATTAAAGGATTGAGTGACAGCACCACATCCAAATTTGAAGTTCAGTAATTATTAGCAAATCGAAAATGTTCTACCAGCAAGGTAGTTCGAGTTTGCTTGGCTTAGCAAAGTAGAGTTTAATTTGACGGGAATTTTCAAAAGACTAAGACAAGTAAGGGTTGAAATACTTACAGGATTAGTAGTAGAGGTTGAGGGCATATTTACTAAAGCAGTTCTTCCATTTATACTAGGCGGTGTTGTCTCCTTAGTATCACCCTCTTCTCCTATGTCAGGGGGTGTGACTGAGCTTGAGAGATCCGCTAAAATCAACGAACAAAACAAACACTGTAATATTTGCCTAAAGTGCAGAAGGAGTTCATAAAATGGGACTAACTTTCACTATCGACGTAACGGAAGTCTTGCATCTCGAGAAGAATACGAGAAACATTCCGATTTTGTACGCTAGGCGGGGGTGGAGTAGGTTCATGAGAATTGTCTGTGGGTTCAGTATAGATATCGTCTCTCCTTGGCCGGTCTATTTAAGGACAAACCGAATTGGCACTAACAACCAATTTAGTAAATGAGGGCAATAATGGATAAATACATGCCTGGAATTTCGACATAAGCGTCACTGCCTAGATCTGTCACAGGTTCAACAACAACTTGGGATCCAAACGACGATCGCGATGCCCTCTCATTTGCTACTTCGGCGCCATTTTCGTCCGGGTACCAGTAAACACCCTCGTAGTCGGTTTCTGAAGGCTATAAAAAGGGAAACTTGATGCTTATCTGTAGCTTAAGTCAAATTTGAAGCCAAAGTCGGCATACCCGCATAATATCCGGAGGTTATATAGCAACTTCTAAACGGCAAAACGAGCCGAAACTTCTTTAAGACAATTAAGTTCAAACTTAAATCAAAACGTATAGAGACTTATTCACTGAATATAAAAATTTAATCTATTCCATTATTTTAGAAAATTCGATTCAAGTATAGATAGTTATCAACACGATACAAGCCTGCTTTTCGAAAATGTTGTACACCTCTTCTTCCTGTGCAATTTTCTAAGAGGTATAGCTTTGTTGTGGAAGGAAAGGACACTGACTCGGCCAAGATGGATAGGTTTTGTCCCAAATTAGAAGTTTTATAGTAAATTAAAAATAAATACTTAACCACAGCAGTTTATATGAGAGTGCTTTCCAATTATAGAATCTTCAAAAATTATCCAAAATATTTTCAAAAAATTGTTGAAAAATTCCAGTAGTAGAAATTCAAACGCAGCATTTTATATTTTGAATTACATTTATATTTAAATGGAAGTAGACAAATCATAAGCGGGCTACTTCGTAAAAATGGGTCTCAACGCTCAACTAATGCTTATCCATACATTTCTTAGCCTTTAGTCGACCAAGAATGGAACGATATCTCTACATTCATTTAAAATTGAATTTTACTTCCCCATAACAATAGATAAAAAACTGCATTACCACTTCCAGCGGTTGCCGATTTTCCGAAAGAAAAGTTGGCAGAGCATTGCGAGCACGGAGACTGGCAATTGACTCCCGAACTGTGATATTTCGATAGTGTCCACTCTTAGCACTCCCGTAGGTACTGCTACTATAATCACCACTAACTCGAGGCGCGATCGGTGGTTCCATATTAACGGTAGCAGGAGGTTCGGGGTTGGAGTCCCGGTTCGTTGATACTATAGAAAGGAAACCTGACACTTAAATCCTAATAAGTGGTTAATTAGAACTTAAGACTTCAACGCATACCTCTATTGGAAAGTTGATTTTGGCTATTATTTTGGCGTCGCCTCAACCCAGATTGCAACATTTCAAGGAGGTTTAAACCACTGAAACTAGCTTCACTTCGCGGTCGTCTGGAGTTTTGTTGGTTGCCTTGAATACGGCTTGAAGCGCAAGAATTCTGAATAGAGGTCAAGGGTTGACCATTGTTTAGAAGTTGTTCAACCTCAGAAAGACGATAGGCCCTTGAGGGAACAGGTGGACCTTGAGAACAGATGGGGATTATTTGTCTATATGACAACTAACAGCTAATATGCACATTGAGTAGTGCGGTCTTACCAGTAGCAATGTCAGATGTTCCCTGACTTTTAACTGCTCGTCGATAACCACCAAGCTCTGCTCCATTACGATGGTTACAATAAGATGAGCAGTCACCATTCGATCGTAGACGAACAGATTTTGAGGTAGGCGATGTTTTAACCTGTGCATAAACCGCCTGAAAAGAAGCATTAATTGAGATAAATTTATGAGTAAAAAATGATAGAGATTCATACGGGGAATTGGCCATTTGAAATAGTCGGAGCTTCTTGATAAACAGGGCTTGCTCGATTAGGATCATGATGGATCGTTGAGTAATATGGGAGGGCCATGGACCCACCGGAACCCTCGCTATCAACAGCGCTCCAGAAATTTAACCTTTTCGCCGGAGGAGGAACGATTGAATTAGCTGCTACAGCCACAGCCGTGGATGTTGAGGCTGAAATATATATATATATATATGTACATACATATAACAAATCTACTTAACTCCATTTCAGTAGATTGTCATCGAAACAAAGTTAAAAAGGCCACAAACCTTCAGGACGATTTTGGGGTGATACAAATGCACCGGGAACACCAACACTAGCATATAGAGGGTCAGATTCAGAGGGTTCACAGAAGGAATATGGACGTACTCCATCTAGAACGTCGGCTTGTCTATTTGCAATCGCCTAAAAGAAACAAAATGACCTCTAAGTACTTACATGGGAAATGACAACCAGACTGCAGGAATCGCTTAGAAAATTACAAAATGAGGAGCTAAATATCGTTAAACCAAACAGGTTTATTAGGCATAGTATTTGAAACCACCAATTAGATCAAAACAAGTACAGTGATTAGCGCTAATATTGGTTAGTCACAAGGCCACACACATTATGACGCACTAAAATCGAGGGAAAAAGGGGAAGAAAAGAAGCCAACAAAAAACTCATTATTCGCTCTACTTTTTATGTCTCCTTCTTTTTTGCGCGCACAGATACCCTGCCCACTCCGTCGGTAATTTAGGTGGAAGATGATGAGTCATCGTCATTAGGGGGGCTGACAACAAAACAGGCCAGAAGAGCGGTTTCGACAAAAATTAGTCGATATGTTTTGGAAACAGTGGTGTTTTACAGACCTTTCGATTCAAAACGGCGGGAATCTAGTGAGGAACAATAGTAAGTATTCAAAAAAATTAGTGAAATATAGCCTACCTTCGTGGCCAAATTGCTGAGAATCTGAACATAGCCATATTCATCTATTTTTGCATACCGAGAATGACTTTAGCATGACCTTTAAGTGGTTACAAGAGAAGAAGTAGAAGGGGAATTTACCAACACAGAAACACCAGAATAAGTTCTTCCCTGTCAGTGAGCCTAGAGATGTGCACAGATTTCGTCGCATCTTTACTTTGGTGACATTGTATATTTCCAGTACTTTCTTAATAACTCAGGTCATAAAAGCTTGCTTTCTGAAGTGGTGAACTAGGATAGAAAGTTAGGATTTTGTGATCTTTGAAAATTCACCAAAGAAAAGAGAAAAATGGTAGCCGTAAAACAATGGGCCAGGGTTTCGACATAACTGCAACTGAAGCCAAACGAACGAATTCCCACAGATAGTCTCTGAGTGGTTGGGCATTCTCATAAATAGATAGAGGCACACAATGTTTTTGACAAGTTGGTCAAGAAATGTCATCTGTGAGTTAACTTCTTCAAGCGTCAACGGCCCTAAGACGAGTTGTATTTCTAGAGTAGCATTTGCCTACATTAATATTCTTCTACGTCGAAACTGAAATCAAAGTGTCATGGAAATAGGCCTAGTAAATAATACACAAGCATATATTCACAAAGCTGTGCAAAATTAAGTAAGACTAAGCACTATCCGTACTATCGTAGTCATGAAAGTGACTTGACTTGTATTTTTCATGAAGAAAATAAGACCTCAATCATGCAAAACGAGTTTGGGATAGATAACCAAACTAAGGTTAACGAGGAGAGTGAAATTAGTATCAAAGGAAAAATAACGCCAAAGAAAAGACGACAAAACCCAATTAAAAACGCATGAGGCATTTCCGATGTTGATGGTGGGATTTCAAATCTAACCGATAGATAAACAAAACTTTTAATGAAATAACATCGTGGGAGTAACAAACTAATATGACAAGTTGTGACAGATGAGCACTTCTACCATCGAACAAAGTAAAGTTGCATTGTAAAACGCGCATTGAATTTGAGTAGGAACATAAACACCCCTCCACGAAAAACGAGTATCATTTCTCACTCTCAACAGGCAAATTAGAAGTGCGCAGAAAGCTTAAGCTAAGGTCGTAAGGACAAAGTAGGATAGTTGTCTAACCCACTCTCCCTCAAGCTCACTTGCTAATGAACTCGCGGAACACAGGAAGCCCAGAAACAATAAATTGTGCTGACCACAGGTGGAGCAAAAGTCAAGGTGAGAAGAGACGCAACCAGTTGATACATACGAAGACTCAAATGGAAAGGTGATGAACGTGAAAATCTTTAAAAGGGGAAAAGTTATAAAAAACAATAATTTCTACAAAGGCCTTCTTCCAATTTAACGACTTGGGATGCCAAATCCAAGGGGTTTTAAACAACGAAAAAAACTTATAAGTCCATTTGAACAAAGACTAGGGTTTGGATACTTGGTTCATAACTTTCAAGGGAATATTAGTAAATTCCAGCATTAAAACCCTCGATTTCTACAAAGACTCAGATGCAGAAAGAAGTTTTCCGTCGTTCGAACTTCATTTTGTGAAATTGCTGAGTCATAGTTTAAGTAAATGTTACTTTCGAGTTTCCATTCATTTGTATTCGGTGAAAGTGCCTAATTACAACAGAAAGCGCGCATTCAAAATGACCGAGTTATATATACATATGGTTAGTAGTGTCTCACACTCATTTTAGTTTGTATCAAACGGGGAGATTTATCTTAAAATAGCTCCGATTGCAGAATGATAGCACATCATACTTCTTTAACATAGGGGAGATGGAGTAAAAAGGTATACTTGCCTGGACCAATACATTCAAATTCAACTCTTCTTACTAATAGCTAACCGAATTTTTTTCTTATTCGTTGATCGATAATACTTAGTGATAACAACTGAATAAAGATGAAGGTGTGTACTTATAGCTTCATTTATATTTATTGAGAAACACTGAGCTGAGACGAAAACTTTAAAAGCCGAAACTCTTGTAAATGCAACTGCCTTACTAGAAGCTCACATTTTTTAACCTTTGAACTGTTAAAGCCTAAAATTTATCACAAAATAAGGGGAAACAATTAATTTCTTCACAGAATCTCAACGTTATTGAACGCTGGGCATTGTCGACAGAGTTTACACCCAATTTGTCTTTATGCTTGTCAGGTGTTTGTTAATAAGCAGTTCAAATAAATTTGTTTCCCAACCTCGTAATTGCAGTAAGATCAATCTATTCAAGCAAAAATTATGACCTAGTTTCAATTATCAATCGGAAGCTTAATGAAGAAAGTGGACAAGAGCGCCGATGCCTCACCACTCTCTTGATCACTATTATCCACTAAGGTTGGTCGTGCAGTTCGATTTATGGTCACTTACATGACAAGACTCGCCATCGCACACAGTTCTACTGATACATTAGATTGTCTCAATCATGTCAGAGGAGTGGGCATAAAGGTCAGCTTAAAGGCTCAAAACCAAACTCCGACTCGCATTGGATCGATTTAAGATTAGTAACAAATGCACAAAAAACTAAAACCTCCACCGCGCCATTTAGTTAAATATTTGCATTTAGAGATGCAAGACCGTTGTAATGTGACCACTGCGTTGTGGACGACGCTATGGAAGCAGCATGGTTGAAAAATTTCTTGAGTTATCTCCTCGAATGGCCTTGTAGAGGGCAATGTGACACAAGGGAAAAATTATAGGCGGTCAAGCGGAAATTTTCTCGTTCAAGAAAAACGTTGAAGTTTCATTGTATACTGTAACCGAATTCTACTTGAGAGATGGCAAAAATTTCCCACAAGTTATAACCATGGAGAGAGTAGTTGAATGTGGGGAGGTGGGAAAAAGCCATCTAAAGAATTCAGGTCACAAAATCACCCTTTGCCACACAAATATATGGAGGCCTTGCGTTTTCAGTTGAAAAAGATGTATAATAGCCTGAGAATCAAACGACAAGAAAAGTGGCGCAGACGCCTGATTCTCACACTCTCCCGTATTTCAAGCCCTGCTTTTCTTCTCACACTCTGTCACTTTCTTCAATTTTACCTGTTGCGTACCAGAAAAACTGCTTTATCGGCGGTGTAATCTTTTGAACGTTGGAAATTGTGAGTGACCGGGTGATAGCCAAAGGCATCAGTGACATTTTATCCTACAAATGACAAACTCCAGAAGCGAGATTTAAAATAAATTGTAAAGAAGGTAGAAAACCGTAAAAGCAGGGCGAAACGAATTATTTATTTATTTCAAATGTCAGGCGTTTTGATAGCTATCATTAGCCCTTCAGTTGACTTCGGGCTTCACAGAGGGAAGGTTCATCAAAGTAGCAGAAAGTCGAGGAAGGGGAGCAGAAGAGCGATTCACAGATGTAAAAGAGGCAGACAGACACAAAGGCAAAGAAAAAGGTAAGATGAGTACTGTGGAAGTGGTTGAATATGGCATACAGTGGGGCCATGGTATTTTGAAGTCAGAAGTCAACTGCTGGTTAATAGACATTTTTGCCGTATGAGTATACGAAACGAATTAATTTAAGCAATAGATAATAGATTCGTAAAAATTCATAGAGATGTTTTTAAGTCAAGGTCATAAGACAAAACTATCGCAGAAAAGGTGTTCCCATTTCACTATCACATTCCTCGGTAAGCAAGATACTGACTGTAACACATTTTCGATTTTTTTAAATTCTATTTTTCATTAGAAAGCATAAAAAGATATATGCTATAATCAAGGTTAAAATATAATTTGGTTTGACATGTGAAACAAAATAAATTTAAAATCGTTGGGACAGCTACTTAACTTAACTTAGATTAATCACAGTCGATCAAGAATCCAACAAGTAACAAATACTGGTTTACACAAAAAATCGAAACCAAATGCAAACAAGGTTTGGTACTAGGTCATAGCAAAGCAACCAGGGGAATCGCCAAAGTAAATCGACTCAACGCCAAAAGAATCAGAGACATTTTGTATGCTCATAACACGGATATCTTAAAACTGTTGAAAAAAAAATACCTTTGAAATATTACCATAAAAGAAAGTTCCTCAAACTAAACAAACGACTACACCTTCTTTGCGAATCACAAAGGATAAATATTTTCCAATGAAAAACATCCGACAATTATTAACAGATGTAAAGAGTATGCATATTAAAAAATAGATTTTAATAAGGGAATGGAAAACGTAAACCAAAACTATCAAAACCAAATAACGAATATAGCATAAAAGGAATAAAGTACATTTACATTCAAATCTACTAAACTAGGGCTTTGGAAGTGTGATTGTTAGAGAAAAATGGAGGAAAAAAACTAAGTCGAAAAAATACAAAGCAACTTACATTGAGAACATGTGTGGCTCCAACTGGAACTGGAGGCAATTCACAATTCCTTTTCCCACTAAAAAACATGAAATTTAATGAATAAACAAATTTACAAATATGTGAAGCGGTCTTACTTCAAATAAACTCAAGATAAACTTGTTGAACATATGATGGAAATCAAATAGAACACAATGAAGACTCACCCCATGGTAAAGCAATTTCGCCTTTGACAAAAGCCAGCATTGATTGAATTAGATGAATTAGGAGATTCGCGGGAAGCGCTTTCTTCGTGAGGCTACGAGAAAACGCACATTTAATGTCGTCCCAGAAGGCTTATAAGAGTAAAGAATAAAACTACCTCATCATAAATAGCATTGCTCTTTTGTTTTTTAAAGCAACAAAATAAAGACGATTTCGAGCTATGAATTATGGTAACCATGTTTACTACTCATTACTTGTCAATTTTAGAAAAAGTGAAGATGAACAAGATGTTAAAAAGTATTGACGGAGGTAGATTTTTACAAGATCGAGATCCTGAATGATTTGCGGGGAACATTGCAAGCCAAATAATTAGCGGATCGCTTGAATATCACGACATTTGAAAAAATACGTACAGTGCACTCCGTGCCCGGTGACACTTAATTAGCGCACATATTCACTGAAATTTAGCCTCAATAACCCAAGGTTGCGGAACGATAATTTTATTTCTATGTAAATCACTTTGTTATTTCACTTATGACGTTTATCTCATATTTTTAAATCGCATAGTTTTTAATAGTATTATTATAATAAGAATGTCATATTTTCATTAAGGGATGTTTTAGATCTTCAAAATTTTTAAATGATTTCTGCAAAAAAATCGTCCGAGATTATATTTCATTCAAATAAAAAAATGCTAAGCTATTTAATCACAAGCGATATTATATAGATATATCATGAAACCTAAACTATATTTACGTGTTTCTGTTTTGGACTGAGCATGAATGTTCAAGTCTTTCCGAAACGTTGACTTCTTTTTTAGTATGCAAAGAAATTTATAAACGCAAATATATGCAGGTAGATAGTCATATTTTACATTATAGTTTTTGATATTAAGCAATATTTTGGTGTCTTAAGGGCAAATATTATTAATGATTTCTTTTGATTGTAGTATCGCCTGTCCGTTTCAAATACAGAGTTTTCGGACCATTTAATACATAGGAACTTTACCGATTTTGCCAAAGGTGAAAGTTTGACTACAAATCCAAATTATTTGCCTTATTCTTATTTTAGAAATAATATGTTTACTGTAGAATCTAATCAACAATGGTTCACTTACTGGTTTATCGGATTCCTTATGTACAGTCGCACAATTTATTAGAGCTCAAGACTTCATCTGTTACCTCTACAGAAATTTTGAAGCGGTAAAGATCTCGTTTCATCCAGTATTTCACTCTAAAAAATTAGTTTTCGATATGTTATCTACTTCCTTTAACACCATTCTATTTGATCTTATTTTTGTGGGTAAATATGTATCTCCATTACATTAGGAAACTATGACTCATATTTCTTTTTTATTTTTCTTAATTAAATTTATAAAGATAAAAAACATTCATAGAGACTGAATAAAAAATCGATCGACGAATTTTGGTTGAAGACACAAACCAAAACTAACGCTCACTCCGATCTCTCTCTTTTTCTTTTATTAAACCTTTATTTATTAAAATCTCCCCAACATTATCAGTATTTTCGGGTACAACAGTACATTCTCCTCTAGGTAGAGTCATAAGTAAAATTAAGAAATATCTCTGTACCAGCCAAATCTCTTCCTAAAGGATCATTAAAGGATCAGGAATGTAGATCTAATCCCAAGAGCATAAAAATCTACCTATCTGTCCATACAATGGGATATAAAGCTCTCACAACACTGACATGATCACTGTCCCTCATATGCAAGGCTCCGCAAACTTCCCCTATTGTATTTCTGTTTGCTCATTTACAAAGACTGGGAGTGTTTAAACGAAATATATCAGAATGTCATCTTATTTCTTCACAAAGGATTCATTGCCATCATGTTTGGAAAGTCGTTTAAAAGTCAATCATGAATTTTTTGAGCTGGAGAGAGATGAACCTATTCTGAATTCGTGACAAAATTTAAAAACCTCTTCCATATAGCTCTGACCCTGCATCGACATAAAAACTATTTGTAAATAAACAATAAAAAATATAAAATCGTAGTGAATACGAAAATAACGTCAGCGCCGAGTGAGTAGAGGAGGAGTTATTATAAACAGGACAAATTGCGATACTCCAAGTTGAGTTGACCGTGCAGGTCAAATATTAGCTAGTGTGGGTCTCGAACTATCGTTACCTGATCACAGGTCTCGGTTTCAATACGTATTCAGTGTTATTTCATTCTCACAAATTTTGCCTTCAGATTTTTATAATTTTCAGTCATTAACTTAACCGCAAGTGTTTTCTTAAAGAAAAGATACTCCCAAATAGGTATATTCGCGCTCCTTCTGATTAATAATATCTAATGTTTTAAATTTTCCGGTATTTCAAAGTTCATAAGTAAAAGTAGTCGGTTCGCGTTCAAATGTCTCATCGAATTTTGTAAACCGTACATTGTTCAATTCGTCACTATCTCGTCATTGTGATGATACTCTAGGGATGGTTAGATTAATCATTTGCATCCACTGGCTGATAGAATTTTTAATGAAAAACCATATGAAGCAGGACCAAAGACTCCCAATCCTGCTCTCCTTAACTACTAGAGCATAAAAATTGAGGCTAGCCGAGATTTATTGATTCCATATCAGCGCACCAAGTAATTCAACTTTACATCAACCACACATGCAGAAATGAGCAAATTTCATCAGTTCTAATTCCAAATTACTATGCTTTGAAATGCACCTTGGGGGTGGGGAGGGGGGGGGGGGTCATAGAACGAAATACGTTCAGGCAATTCGCTTAAGTCTAATAGGTCTAAAATTCATTTGGCTAACTCCCATAAAGTAGTGAATCACACCAATTAAATTATTTTCCACAAGGTTGATGTACGAATTTATTTTCTACTTAGGCAATAAAAGTGACAATTTTACAATCTCCTAACCGCTTTCCAAACTAACAAAGCGTCAAATGACGCTAGAAGTTTTAGGTTATAACAAAAGTTCTATTTGAATTAATCTCGAAATAATGGATTTTTTGTTTATCTAAAATAAGAAAAAGTATTACTAACATTTCATGGAAACAGGAAATTCAGATTTTATTTTCATCTACTAAACTTAACCGCGTGTAATCAACCTGATTTGTGAAACAAGTTGAATGATTCGTTGTTCTAAAACGTTACCACTAAAGTTTTCCTTATTTATTTTCTTTCGTAACTATCATGTTAGGTTGCTAAATGCGGGGTGTGCGACAGACTTACCTCCACGTGGTGCGCCCCGGACAACGTATATTCATGCGGCAAAAAAGTCTATCAATTGGTAGTTGACTTCTGACTTCAAACTACCACCACTCCACCGTATGTCATATTCGACTACTTCCATAGTACTCACCTCACCTTTTTTCTACCTTTTTTGTCTGTCCCTTTTGCTTCTTTGAAACACTCCTCTGTTCCCTCCCCCCCTTCTCGTCTTTTTCCACTTTGATGTTCCTTCTCCTCTGTGGAGCCTGATGTCAACTAAAGGACAAATGATAACTATCAAAACGACTACCTTTTGATATAAATAAATACATAGATGTTGCTAACTGCAGTTATTATTTTTAACGAAAGGTAAGAATTGCGTTTCGTTACAGGAAACCCTTTTATTATCTGATATATCCATGAATGCAAAGTTTTACATGTTCTTTGTTTAAAGGCTTTAAAGTGGACAACTACTAAAGACATGAAGCTACGTTATCCCTCAAAACACCCGAATTATTTTACTAAAAAATTCTCCAAACGCAATCACACATGTCTCAAAGAAGCTTAATGCCGCCAACTAAATGAGTTTTGATGGTATCAGACGAAGGCTGCAGACGTAGTGATCATGTTTCTAATAGCACTAGTGTCTTCTGTTACGAGTCTAGTGTCAACGGAGCTTATTTTGAAAGAGGACCGTACAGTCCTGTTGGGCGTTAAAGGGCCAAAGAAGTACCAGCTCACTTTCAATTCGGAAAGGAAACTTTAGGAGTGTAATTAAAGGAATTGGATTGTCACTAATTCACCAGAGTTCAGAATTATTGGGCCAACTAAGTTTGCATTTAAAATATTAAATTAGCATGCCATACCTTATCATCTTCCTCATCTGGAAAATCTGCATGATTTCTCGAATTCATCTACTAGTTGGTATAAAATATGTTTGAGTTAATAATGATGGAATTCTTGCCATAATCAAGGAACTATGTGCGACGAATCCGGTACAACTGAAAACCAATCTTAGGAACAATGCTTCAATAACGGATAAAAGGTGACCATTCGTTCAACATTCGCAAAGGGTTAAAATAAAACTATAGAAAGCACACTAATATACATTGATAATACAATTGATCTGCTACAAAATGCAGTAATTTTAGTCCTGTTCGGTATAATTTCATGCGAGTAAAATTTGCAACATTGTTGTGCATGGATGCAAATATTGGAAGATTTCGATACTTTATTACGTTTTATAGTTAGATTTAGGCGGTAATGAAAAGGCAAATGTGTCCATCGAGTGAGTTGGAAGTGGCCACTTTGTCCAGTAAGTTGTCTAACCTCCTCTCTCTCTCTCAGGTTTTTTACCCTAAGGTGCAGAGTAATGCTACAAAACTGCTCAATGTCGTGCAAATGTACGTGGGTTGTTGTAGTTGTTTTATAAGTTCTCGAAAGCAAGAATCTAAAAGCCGATTTGCTTCATTTTAGTAAAACAAATTTTTGCGTTCATTTTCCAAACAAATTATTGTGGAGAAGTCTATTTCAAACTTTTCACAACTTGATTCGAATTATTAGATGAATTTAGTAATAAGCAAATAGACTTCAGCAAAAGATGAAGCGTACTTTGGATGTTAGTTTAGTGTTTAGCCAATATTTTGCTATATAGAATAATAGGGTATGCTGGACTTCTACCAAAACAAATACTTATTCA